TTTTATTAAACTTTCTTTCTGTGTCAATCTCCTGCGAGATTTTGTGCATTTTCTCTCTGGTTTTCTGGCCAAATGTCAGATGTCTGGACGAGTTGGAAACCAAAGTGGATTCGGAGCGTTGAGTGAGCGTGACAAATGCAATTATACGGCGTCTGCCATCCCAAAAAATGCCAGAACCTCTGGGATTACGATCCACCAAAAAAGCATCTGCTTTCCCGCTGGGTGAGTGAGTGTGGGGGGGGATAATTGGGGTTGGGGTATGCTCAAGGACCACACCCTGTAACCTTTGACCTCACCTCGCTGCCCATCCTCTGGCTGTGCGTTAAAAGTCACGATTAAGCGCCGCATCAGCCCACCGAATCCCAAAACTCCCCGATGATGATGAGTTGTTGACTCTTCAGTTCTTTTTTTTTTTGTTGTTCTGTTGTTTTGTTGTTTTGTGTTTCAAGTTTGGCTGGTCTTCCTCTCACTCGGGGGTGGATGTTGGCCTGGACTTGGCTTTCGGGGCATAAACTGCATGAAATTAAGTAATTAACTGGCTGAACTTCACTCCACAGGTCACCGCAGCCGGTACAAAAGGTCACATCAATATGCCATCAGTCGTGATGAATGTGTGCAGATTTATCAAATACCATGATGGTAAAAATAATGCCATTGTTAATTCATTAATAGGTTGGGAAGTCAAAGTAAAAAAAGACCAAACTATTACCAATATTGATGGCTTAATTTTAGTAAAATTTTTAAAACCCAATATTTGGCATGAAAACATTGAATGTATTTATCATTTAACAATATATAACTTTTATTTAAAATTCCAGTGATTGTCGAGTTATTTGGCAACTTCTAGATAATTCATAAATATTTATGCTAAATTAATGTATTTATAAAATAACTCTTAATAACTTTTATTTAAAATTCCAATTATTTATGGAAAATATATATATTGTAAATATATTTCTGATTAAATACTGTAGCCATTAAAAAGCTCTTCATATCTCTGTTAATTTAGTTCCCGCCCAAAAGTTGCTCCCAAATCGAGGCATATAATTAGCGTGCGAGGATCACACAGCTGTTAGGTACCGACTGATTGCCGCGAAATATACTATATATGTTATATGTTAAATGTCTCACTTGAGCACAAAACGAGTTTGCCCCCGATCGAGAGCTTTGTTGGCCCCTTCGGTTCAGGGTTCGTGGTTCGTGGTTCATGGTACGTGGTACCTATTCCCATCTCCCGAATCCTCTAGTCGCATAGTCACAGTTCTTGTCGGACATGACATAGGAAAACAATAGTCGGGCACAATGGACCACTCGGGCGTCCATGTATGTATAGATATGTGGAACAAAGGGGCCAGGCAGGAGTGACCAACGGTCGAGGAAAGTTCCCATCGGCGAACTAAGTAAATGGGAATATACAAATACAAGTATACAAGTATGATGGAAGAAGAAGAGGGCAACGCAGCAACGCAGCAACGCGAGAGATCGCGAGAAATGCAAATTAAGTGCTGACCATTGTCCAGTCTTAAGAACAAGGGGTTGCTGCTTTTGCCTATGTTTCTTTTGCTTGGTCCCGAATCCGGAGGTCGTCTTAAGGTGGGATATATTGCCACTGCAGTTTTATCGCATCCCCGAATTCCAGTTTCCGTTGTGCTCCCATTGTAATGAGTTCGCGCTCGTTATTCACTATTCACCCCGTTCCCCTAGATATCTCACCCTTCTCCTACATTCATAGATTCTTCCATTCCCATTCCCGATCCCGATCCTGATCCTCTGACCCTTCGCATACCCCCTTTGGCCTTGCCAGTTGCAGTTGGTCAGCAGTCATCGTCATCAGGCCTTAATTTACGGGCCCGAGGGCCTCGAAAGCGGCGACCTCATTTGAATATTAGTTGGGTTGGTCCTTGGTCAATGATCTTGATTTGGGCCCCGGACCTCTGTGAAATTGCCTCCGGACCGCCAAGACACATTCTCACATCCTTATGCATTACACGCTTGACCAGCCGATCCTCCTTCCTCTTTACTCCATCCTATTTCTTATTTCCCCGCTGAACTCATATTTCATTTGGCTGACCAGTCTTGACCAGCCATCGCCATCCCGTTTTCGGAGCGGTCAACATGCGTATTACAATTTGATCCGGAATCCCTTGATTAGGAATTTGTTCTATGACGCAGTCACTTTTTCTGTTTCTGTTGCTGTTTCTGTTTCTGCTTTCATTTGCTTTTGCGACCCTTGCTATGGCCCGTTAAAATGATAATTTATGGATCCGAGGTCCTGCCAAGGTCCTGCCGCATCCTTTCTGGGTTAATGAGAGTTTGATCTCGCGGCGATTTATCTCTGGTCTCGCAAAAGGGCAGGCGAACGATCTTATTGATGGGATTAGCTGGCAACGGGGTTATCACACTCCCAAGATTTCCCAGTCCAGTTTTGACCTCGGTTCAACATTTTCCAATAAATATTAGCCAGCATTGAAATACGAAAATGTGGACTTTTAAGTCTGGAATCGAATGGTGAAGCTATGAACTTTAAGTTGAAGTGCACTTTTCAGTCACCTTTATGCTAGACATCGGAAAATTAAAAATATTTAATATGAAAAGTTGATAAAAATTGGATAAAGTTTAAAGTGACATATTTCGATAATGAAATATTAAATTAATATTATAAATCTCTGTGTAAATTATGGAAATATAATAAATATACTATTTTCTTGAATATACGCCAAAGCGGGATGTATAGTAATATATCTTTATTTTTCACAAACTGTCATAATTAATTTAATTTTGTTTTTGACCAAAAATGGTTGTTTGTTTTTTTTTTTTTTTGGAGGAAGCCCCGTTTTAACACGCTCCATTTTAGCCATCGCTTGATCGTTTTTCCCGTTTTTTAGATGTCTTGGGCATTTTAGGGACCTTAATTGCAAGTTGTTTCTGTTCTGTTCTGTTCTGTTTCGGTTTCAGTCACAAGTCCAGCTGAGCACGGCATATCCTGAGACGAGGACGAGGACGAGGACGAAGGCGAGGGACCTACCGAACCCGATCGAAATGAGGTCAGTGACTGGCGTTGCAGGCGCGCAAGAAACGAGATCGGGATAGGAAAAAGGACAAGCTGGCAGGACCCTTGGGCATTGTGCCAAGGCGTAACGGTTTTCGCTGTTTTCTGTAGCCGCCTTTGTTTTGTTTTTCTTTTTTTTTTTTTTTTTTTTTTGTTAGTTGAAAGTCCAGGACGTGTCTGTTGAATGGCAGGCCAAATTAAAGCAGGGCAAGTTTCGGTCAAGGATTAGCATTAGTTCGGTGAAGGATGACCAACGGTCAGTTGTGAACTTTCGGTATACAGAAAAATAACTACAACTGAATAAGAATCATAAAGTTTTTTTTACTTTTAAAGAAGTTTTGCTTGTGGTAAGAATCCCTATGAATGGATAATTAAAAACTATGCGTAAAGTTTGGTTAATCTATTATTAATTAATCCACAGCAAGTCGCATATTTCTAAGCAATTATTTTACATTTTAATTTTGTCTATATAATAAATGTCTATATATATAAAGAAGAATTTCGATTGGTCCACGCTTAATTGCGACCCTTGTACAGCTTCCATAATGGAGTGCAAAAACTGACATTTTCTAACCCAAAAATGGCCCTTGACTTCGGTCTAACCCCCACAACCCCTGAAGAGAAGAGAAAAACGGCCCAACCCTTAGCATCCCTGGAGTTGAAAGTTCAAAGAACATTCTCGGACATTTTTAATGAAATTGACATGGACCCTGGGTTTGGGTTTGGGTCGAAAGTGAGATCACATCGGTAGCAGAAAATTCAATTAGTTTTTCGGCTGAAAAGTTCAAGATTTTCGTGTGCCGAATGGACATTGGTCAGCAGATCAGAGAGGATCAAAAGGGGCAAGGGTAAACTCATCTAGCGTAACGAAAAAGGATGTTCGTCCAAGAAAAAAAGGGGTTAAGTCGCCAAACTGGTTTCTTCTTTGCTCATCAACCGTTGTTGATTTATGGGCTCGCCACCCCATACATTCGTTAGTCAACCCTTTTCTTTGGCAAAGGTGACAGATCAGTTCAGATCAGATCCCCGGAGCGCAAGTAGAGCAGCATCCCAAAACGGGATGATGATCTTACTTTCTGGCCACTCGTCTGCGTGTTAAAATCCCAAACCCTTCTTTTAAACAAAAGTTATAGATGATCGGCGATCCGCGATCTGCGATCAGCTGCCTGACCAATTAGTCAAATGTCCTCGTTGGGAAAAGAGATTTCTCTTGGGAAAGTGTCTGTTGATCTGAAAACCAAGCCCAAAATACTATACATATTTCAACACACACACACACACACACACACACACACTCACTCAACGCACAGTTCAGGTGAAACAAGTTTCGGATTTTCACAATTTCAGCATCATTTGGCGGCTCGTTCTCAGCACCTTTTGACCCCGAGACGAGTGTCGTTTTAACTGCGCCCAAAAGACAAAACAACAAAACCAAAAAAAAAAAAAAAAACAACTGAGACTAAGAAACACCAGCAGCGAACAACTCGTAATATGTTTTTATTGCCATAAAAGATATGGTGCTGCCACTTAGATGAAAGCTGACCGAACTGACCGCCAACTGGATAAGTGGTCAGCAGTTTCCGTTAGCCCTCCGTTCCCATCTTTCCCCGCTCAATTTAAGCTTCAACTAAGGTGACCCAGGTGTACCAACATAGCGCGTCTCGTTTGTCCCAACAAGAGGCAACAAACACCACTCATTTAATTGCTCATATCTGTCACAACGCCAAGTTCGAGATCTCCTCTTCATGTCATGCTTATTTGCTTGGGAATCTACAAGTTTTTTAGAGATCCCTCAATAGCGCCTCTTTAACAGAAATGTCATATAGTTTAAAAAATCAATAACCTACATGCTAACAGCTTACACACTAATAACAACTTTCATATTGAATAAAAATGAATTTATTTAAACATTTTTGTCACCAAAAAAAAAATTTTGTCTAGAAATATGCAATTGTTTAACTGAAGGCATGTGAGGTGGTTATATGTTCTGTTGCAGTTACATAGAAATTTTAGTTACAAAATATATCGTTAAAAAGCTAAGTTTTAAATAATATCTACTCTAAAAGTTATTAACACTTAATTTTGTTCAAAATTACTTTAGGTTAGGAAAGGAATTGAAATTTGCGTTAAAAGTTATTCGGCAAGTTGTTTTACAACAAATTCCTTTTTAAGTCGCACGCTGGTATATTCTCGATGGTAGATACCCAGAAAGGTTTTGCACTTGGAGCAGTATAGATATTCCCGATTATCCGAGGACATCAGACAGGGCAGTAGGCACAATGGCCAGCAGTTGGCCAACCATCCAGTCTCCAATTCCGAGGCGGCTTTAATTAGTGGACAACGCTTGCAACCGCAGGCCGGGCAAAAAATTTTGCCATCCAAGGCACTCCATTGAAGAATAGGTTCCTTATACAACTGATTTCGAATCGACTTCGCTTTTTCCTTGGCGCATAAACATAAATGGTCCTTCGTGGCGGATACATTGCATGCAGCAGTTGGTGTTTTTTTGCCCTTAACCAGTTCATTTCTCCAGTGTACAGTAATTCTGGGCACATCATCTACCCATTTCACTATTTTAAATTAACCAAAATTAAAAAGGGGGAATTTCAGAGTAAATTTTTTAGTTCAGTGTGAAAGCTAGTTTTGCATTGTCTATATAAATTTATGTAAACGTTTTTCAGTGTGTAAAGTGACTTTTCTCTAATTGATAACTTATTTATGACTTACAACGATCGGCTTTCTCGGCGGTTTGGGACTTCTTCAATATGCTTTTTTTTGCAAGGCAATCTTCAGTGTTTCCATGTCTGGGCACATCATTTACACATTTCACTATTTTAAATTAATCAAAATTTCAGAGTAAATTTTTTAGATCAGTGTGAAAGCTAGTTTTGCATTGTCTATATAAATTTATGTAAACGTTTTTCAGTGTGTAAAGTGGCTTTTCTCTAATTGATAACTTATTTATGACTTACAACGATCGGCTTTCTCGGCGGTTTGGGACTTCTTCAATATGCTTTTTTTTGCAAGGCAATCTTTAGTGATTCCATGTCTGGGCACATCATCTACACATTTCGCTATTTTAAATTAACCAAAATTAAAAAGTGGGAATTTCAGAGTAAATTTTTTAGATCAGTGTGAAAGCTAGTTTTGTCTATATTAATTTATAAAAACGTTTTTCAGTATAAAAAGTGGCTTTTATGTAACTGATAACTTATTTATGACTTACAACGATCTGCTTTCTCGGCGGTTTGGGACTTCTTCAATATGCTTTTTTTTGCAAGGCAATCTTCAGTGTTTCCATGTCTGGGCACATCATTTACACATTTCACTATTTTAAATTAATCAAAGTTTCAGAGTAAATTTTTTAGGTCAGTGTGAAAGCTAGTTTTGCATTGTCTATATAAATTTATGTAAACGTTTTTCAGTGTGTAAAGTGTCTTTTCTCTAATTGATAACTTATTTATGACTTACAACGATCGGCTTTCTCGGCGGTTTGGGACTTCTTCAATATGCTTTTTTTTGCAAGGCAATCTTCAGTGATTCCATGTCTGGGCACATCATCTACACATTTCACTATTTTAAATTAGCCAAAATTAAAAAAGGAGGAATTTCAGAGTAAATTTTTTAGATCAGTGTGAAAGCTAGTTTTGCATTGTCTATATAAACTTATGTAAACGTTTTTCAGTGTGTAAAGTGTCTTTTCTCTAATTGATAACTTATTTATGACTTACAACGATCTGCTTTCTCGGCGGTTTGGGTTTTCTTCAATATGCTGTTTTTTGCAAGGCAATCTTTAGTGATTCCATGTCTGGGCACATCATCTACACATTTCGCTATTTTAAATTAACCAAAATTAAAAAGTGGGAATTTCAGAGTAAATTTTTTAGATCAGTGTGAAAGCTAGTTTTGTCTATATTAATTTATAAAAACGTTTTTCAGTATGAAAAGTGGCTTTTATGTAACTGATAACTTATTTATGACTTACAACGATCGGCTTTCTCGGCGGTTTGGGACTTCTTCAATATGCTTTTTTTTGCAAGGCAATCTTCAGTGATTCCATGTCTGGGCACATCATCTACACATTTCACTATTTTAAATTAACCAAAATTAAAAAGGGGAAATTTCAGAGTAAATTTTTTAGATCAGTACGTAAGCTAGTTTTGTCTATATTAATTTATAAAAACGTTTTTCACTATGTAATGTGGCTTTTCTCTAATTGATAACTTATTTATGACTTACAACGATCGGCTTTCTCGGCCGTTTGGGACTTCTTCAATATGCTGTTTTTTGCATGCTTTGAGGCCAGTTTATGTTCCGGTTTCCGGTTCAATTTAATTTCCGGGTGTTTCTGCTCGGTGTGACGGGAGAGTTTACTATTATCGTTTTGGAAGGATTTGATCTTATTGCAGTGCAAACAGCGCAGACGCTGCTCATTGCCCTGCGGTAAACTTGGCTGGGCCATCTTGGTTCTTCTTCTGATAATTTCAATAAAAGCAATATGTCTACTTTTATTCTATGTAACACAAGTGTTTGTCGACGAAGAAAAATCGAACTAGCAGGTGGGTAAGTTTGACATTAAACTATTATTCCAAAGCCTACTCAAGAAAATATAAGCTGATAATATATGGGTAAAAGGATCATGTTTTTAACATAAGGGTTCTCTATTTTAAATGGATTTTTAATTGGATTTACCTTTTATGCAGTTTTTCCAAACTTTGTTCACAGTTTCATATCGATTGTACTTTTATTGTTATCATAAAACTGTTACCTATTTGAACTTCAAAAAATTCAAAACCATTTTACAATGTTTTTATAGTCAAGACAAACAATATTTTTCAAACAATATCTTGGAAATTAAATAAAAATATGTGTGATATAGTTTTTTAAGGGTTAAAATTTTTGGCTTAAAATAATAAAATAAATAAGAAAAAGTGGCAGAATATTTGCAATTAGAACGAAAGGAGGGAAAAACCACTTGGCAAGTGGCAGTTGGCAAATCCATCCAGTGGTGCACCATGCAATCTTCCTCTTCAATTTCCTTTTGCTGCATTCATAAAACAAACATAAAAAAAAGAAGCGAAGCAGCCTAGGCGAAATCATAATAAATATCTCGCGTAAATGCAACAAATTTGTGGCGCATGCGCAACCAGCAACCGGCTGCTGTTGCCGTGTAATTAACAAAAACAACAGAAAAAACCCCGCACCACCCACTGCACCACCTGCACCACCGCCCACTTTGCCACCTTCGATGAGCTAACCTTTTTTTTTTTCGTCTCTCTTTTTTTGTTTTGTTTTTAACTGACGGCACGCGCGATGCAATTTTTGGTATCTGCAAGATACATTCGCCGCTTTTATGATTTACGCTCGCCTCGCTTTATATAATCGGATCGGCGGCCTGCACAGCCCAATGAAAAGTTGTGTGTTCAAAAAGAAGCATTTCATAATTGAAAATGTTGCAACTATTTGGTAGCTCCACCATCCATCCATCCATCCATCCATCCATCCATCCATCTATCCATCTGTTTGGTCGGCTGACTCTTGGCTGCGTTGCATGTTTGATTTTCTGCTAATGCAATGCGGCATCTTGTTGCTGTTGTAATTAACAGCCCCGTGTGTGCCTTTTTTGTATCTGCGGGAATAAAAGGCATCCAAAACTGCACTTCAAGAGGAAGTGGCCGCATATCAATTGCCTGGAAATGCGATCAAATCACTGCCGGGTTTCGTTCCGAACCACCCCGCAAATACTTTGCTTTTAAGAGGCACCCATAAAAACACAGCCGATAAAGCTGCGATTTTAAGATTGGGCTTTACCACATTAATGGTTCAAATAAGCAGATGCAGTTTTAAAGTTTTTGTTAGTTCTGCAAGATAAGAGAAACTCTGAGAAAACTGTCAGTTTCTTGCTTTTTTTAACAGGTAAAAAAAAATACTGGACTAAACATGGCTTTAAAATTGAGCCTAACATATAAATTCAGAAACAAATTACCTTAAAAATTAGTTATGCTAGTTTTGAGTTAATTTTGAAGGTAGTTTTACTGTAATTTATTTAAAAGGCCACATTTTAAGGCCATGTTTTCGGAACTTTTGTTTCTAAAATAAATTTATATAAATAAAAAAGTTTATGCATTCCTTAAAATTGAAATGCAATTAAGTTAATTACGCCGTTTTGCGTAAGCCCTAAATTCCCAAGAAACCATCATTAGTCATATTTAAGTATGGAAATCGCATTGCGATCAGTTGACAAGCCCAAAAGCTGCACACTCAGGCCTCAAGTTCTTTGGGGCAAAAGGAGAAGCTCTTCTCGCGCGGCGCCTTTCGTGATGGTTAGTTCCCAAAGGTATTCGCTTACCATGTCCGTGATCCGCTATCGCATGTCTAGTATCACTTTCGATGGCCTTATCATCGCTATCATTTCTGGAAGAGGAACTCAAGGGGGGAGAATGGTGGAACTTAGCGCACGCGCATCCAACACCCGAGGAACTCGCACGGATGGATAACTAAATGGCTAAATGGACAGATGGTCGAATGGCTGGATGGATGGATCGTCCATGGAGGAACTCATGTTTCGCCACACGAACGCAGACTGGCTCCAGACGGTCGCGTCATCCGAGGCCACTTTTTACGTAAGGAGGCTGCACTACCCAACCACCAAATGTCCGAGGTATTGTGATTCTTTTGATTGCTTGCTTGGACAAAATATATATACATTTTAAGCATTCCCTTAAATATTTCTAAGCAAACTAAAAGTCACTAATAATTATTACAACTCTGCGACTAAAGAAGAATGCAGATACAACTAAATATTTATATAGAGATGAACATTGAAATTTTAATAATTATTGGCTATAATTATAGAACATCAGAACTAAAAATATTTATTTATTTAATATTATAAAATGTTAAATAAAATCAATTCAATAAGTAACTAAAATTCGATAATATTATATAAAAGTTCTAGGTCACCCGAATTTCGACCCTTAAAATAATATATATATTTGGTTTCGATTGCTTTAGAACTTGTATGCTGAGCTAAGCGCGGTGTCAAATGGTTTAAGATTTTAAAGCGGAAGAAAGAGAATCAAATCTAAAGAAAGTGGGGAAATGTTGAGGAATTGTAGGAGGAAACACTTATTTCATTTTGTCACGCAGCGGGATTTACCGCAATCATCGCAATGATCTTTGGCTCTCTGAAGATCGATAAACGATTGGCAATTGGGTGTCGTCCGTCGATTTCCTGCTTCACACATTAACAGTCGCCCGGTGTCCGTAACCCCATCATCGATTGGTAGAGGTATAACAGAAAAAAACAAAGACACAAACAAATCAACTCCCCAAAGAGTTCACCTCTTTCATTTGCGATTGTGTGCCATGCGTGTGAGTATCTGTGTGATGGTTTTACTCAGATGTGTGCGAGAATTGGTGGGTTTTTTCGACGGTCACGTCCCCTACATAAATATCCATAAAAAGTAATGCTCACATCCGTCCGGATGAAATGCGTTCGTGTTTGGCGCGAGAGCAAGAGCACCGAGAAGAGTGTAAGAAAGAGAGAGAGAGGGAGGGAGATATCGGGAGTAGAGAGAGATAGATAGATAAGGGGGGATCATTGGGAAGGGGGTTGCAGAATATTACTACACATAGAAAAAAGTATTACCTAACCTATGTCATTAATTCAAGTAAGAGAAAGTACTACATTTTTCTAAAAAGAATTTAAGATTTTATAAGTATTTTAATTTTAAAACAACTACAAAAAAAATCACAATTGTTATTTCGTTTTTCGGGACTTATAATAAAACAATTTAACTTTACAATTTAACAATAAGAAAAAACAAAAGTTACCTAATATCTGCAAACTTTTCTCTCTCTGTCCGCATAGTTTGAAAATCTTGCAACACTTTCGTTCATTCTCAAGCCTTCAAGACTGCTCTATCGTAAATCATAAGCGATAAGATAACACCCATAAAAATAAGTCAAAACCTTCACACGATCAGAGCGAAATCAAACAAAGATATAGACACTGGCATACCTGAGATGGCCGCATCCCATCCATCCCGTAGCTCCGACGAATATTCGATGGAGTTATCGGGCAAAACAGGCAGGTGTCCAATACATCGGAGCAAACAAACGGGTATATATATGTTACATATATATATATATATCCATCCCATCCCGAGGGTCCAGGGAAAATACACACAGAGTGTTTTGATTTGTTGCCTCATTGGTTTTGGTTTTTCGGTTTTGTTTGGGTTTATTGCGGTTCAGTTGATTCAATATTTACCCTGCTTATCGAGCACCCACAATCCGGAACCCAGAATCGGGATTCGGTTCCAGATTCTCAGCGTGTCGACTGGAAGAAATAGGTCAGGGGGGAGTTCATTGGGTGTTACATTTTGGGATCCTAAACCACACACTACCATTCTTTATGGAAAACAAATAATACGTAAAAGGGATATATATTTAGAACTTACATATATTATTTACAAAATGTATTTGATTTTTAAAGATCCCATATATAATAACTATATGTTGACAACTAAACAGATTCTTAGGTAAACTGGTTCATCAGCCATTAAGATGTAAAAACTCTTCATCTGATATCCCCAAAGTAATGTAGTATTTTGGAATTATGAGTTGCCATTGGCAAAATCCGTAGATACTTTTGGTGAAGGCTCGTGTCGGGGTCACCACTCAGGTGGCGTCAGTAACCTCCACACGAGTCTCACTTCTAGCCCAGACCTTCCTCGCGGAACGTTCGATCGGAGGCTTCTGCTTAATTAGCCGACTGTTTGGTATCGAGTACCGTGTGGCAAGGTCGCCGGATTCTTTGCCGCGTACCGCCTTGAACGCAATTTACCGGTTGCCATTCGAATATTCACACTCCAAGTCCACATCCGCCCAATACCATCTGCTACCCAATACCCAGCAATATTTCAAGGCCGCTTATGTCGTGCTGAGCGGACCCACATCCTCCCGGCCAATTGTTATTAGTTCTTAGCTTGTGCAAATAATTCAATTAGCCAATTATCATGGCTTGGTCGAAACTTAAAAGTCGATGCAGGTAATACTCTTTGGGATATTTAATTTTTAATGACCTTTAAAGTATACTACTTTAATTTAATTTTTCTGTGCATAAGTGTTATTATATAAAATACACGACTATTCACAAATACTATATTATATGATTTAATACCCTGTTTTTATTATTGTATCCAAAAGCATGCAGATTCATATACAATCCAATCCTCATAGCGAATATATCCGATTGCTAGTACCGCCAAGGTGCTGAAATCAATGTTGCAGTTATTAGAGTGCAAAAGTAAAACGAAGTCATTGCTAAAGCGTCAAAAGACAAATCAATTAAACGCGCCACCCCCGAGTAATCCAAGTGGCCGAGTATCTACATATCCAGTTAAGCACATACACACGTCTACTTTAGATATATTCCGACACATGTGTGGTGGGGCCAACAAACCCATTTAACCCACAAGTGGCCAATGTCTTGTGCTGCGTCCGTTTAATTATGGAAAATGATCATGACAGAGAGCATTTCCTGTCCCT